TTGGGCGGTTATTTCGAGGTTTTGATAGAGGTTGCCCATTAAAGGAGCGGCGGGGGATGAATATTGTGCGCATTGTTGGGATGAGGTTGTGTTGGTATCTGGTGGTCGGGGGGGACTTTGTACTAGTGATCCAGACACCCGCTCATCATTATCTTTGTAACGATTTGCAGCTCGGGCCTTGTGATGTGGGGTAATGGGCACGGTATCTGAATATTCTCGGGGACGTCGGGCAACTTCTTCATCTTCATACAGGGCTTTCGATTGAGGGTTGACCCCAAGTAGCTCTAAAAGTGTTTTCCGTGTCTCCTCCGATGGATTTCGGAGAGAGTAAAAGAGCGGTGTCATACCCTCATTGTCCCGCAATTCGGCATTGACCTCTCTCCATTCCAGTAATAGCTCCACGACTCCCACCCTTCCCCACTCGGTAGCGTAGGATAGTGGTGTTCTTCCACGATCGTCTTTCGATTCGGCGTTGACGTCTTCCCGTTCCAGAAATATTTTCGCAATCTCCACTCTTCCCCACTCAGCGGCGTAGGAGAGAGGGGTTCGGCCATTCCTGTCTCTTGATTCCGCGTTGACGCCACCCCGATCTAGCAATAGCTTCACCATTTCCTCACTCTGCCATTGGACGGCGTAGGAGAGAGGTGTCCTGCCACAATGATCTCGTGATTCGGTGTCGACCCCTTCTAGTCCCAGTAATAGCTCCATCACTCTTTCATTTCCACTCTGGGCTGCATATGAGAGTGGCGTCCTATCATTATTGTCTTTTGATTCGGCGTTGACCTCTTCCCCTTCTAACACAAGCCTCACGATTTCCACTTTCCCCCACCAGGCAGCATGCGAGAGTGGTGTTCGGCCATCGGCGTCCCGCAATTCGGGGTCGACTTTGTCACTCTCCATAAGCAGCTTTACTGTTGCCACGTCCCCACGGCTGATAGCATGGGAGAGCGGTGTCCTTCCATAATCGTCTTGCGATTCCCTATTGACCTCCTGCTGTTCCAGGAAAAACTTCACCACCGCCACACTTGCCCACGAGGCCGCATGGGAGAGTGGCGTTCGGCACCGGGCGTCCTGCGATTCGGGATTAACCCCTCCATTTTCCATCAGCAGCTTCACAATTCCTACATTTCCCCACGCGGCAGCATGAGATAGGAGTGTCCGTCCAACACTGTCTCGTAATTCAGCGTTGACCTCTTCCCGCTCCAGAAACAGCTTCACCGTTCCCTCGTCCCCACTCTCAACAGCATGTGAGAGTGGTGTCCCGCCAAAATTATCTCGTGACTCGACATCGACTTCCTCCTGTTCTAGAAGTAGCCTTACTATTTTCTCATGACCACCTAAGGCTGCCCAGGATAGAGCTGTCCGCCCCCATTGAACGTCTTTAATTGTGAAATTGATATCTTTCTGTTTCAGGAATAGTTTTACTATGCCTTCGTACCCATTTTTGGTAGCCCATATCAGAGGTGTACGGCCCAAGAAATCGGCCCTATTTATAGCCTCACGGTTCACCTGTAAAATAGCGCTTGAAATTTCATCAATGCCGAAATATGCCGCACAGTGAAGCCCAGTGAAGCCCTTCGGCTGGCTTCCCGGCTTATAGGTTAGCTGCTCAACGTGTCGGCGTAGAAGAAACTTGGAGGCTATATGACAGCCGAAATCGGTTAGGAGCGAAAGTGCAAGAGATTTTACACTTTCTGTGGTCTCGCTTCTTGTATAAAGTCCCCAGTATGTGGAAGCATATTCAAGCAATGGGGTCGTTGCCGGAGTGGAGTCTAGACTAGGCGAAAGCTTATTGACGCAATCATAGTTAAGGTATGTCAGGCAAACCTCAGCCATTGTTGCGTGCGGGTTCCGGAAGATTTCGAGTTGGCTGTCGAGATATTCTTGAAGTGTGAAGTGCACCAGGCGTACCGTGGATCCTGTCCCATCGATGGTAATAAGTCCAAGGCAGGAGGCCAACAATGTTTCTATGGAGGGAACACATTCGGCGTTGAGGTCGGTGGACCCTATTCGCACGCCTAGGGCGTGACATAACTCGTCGGCAGTCATTGGTCGCTCCGATCGAGAGATCCACATTAGGGCGGCCATTCCGAATCACGACTTGGCTCCTCCTTGGGCCTTTATTCTATCCAGGGCCGCACGATAGGCATCGCCTAAACCGAGTCCATTGGTCGTTCTCTTGAGCTGCTCTCGCCGATCGTAGATTGTCACCTACGCCAGTATCGCCGTGATGTTTAGTGACACGAGTAGAAATCTAGGTCCAATGGTCAGTGATTTTTCTTGATTCAGGCATAAGAAGTGCCACTACATACACCTCCGAGAGGGTTTCCGAAACTTGTTTCATGATTTCAGCCTTAAGATCGGCATTCATTCCCTCAGGTTCCGGGTCTTTTTCTAACAACATCTGCAGGTATTTCATAATATCTTCAATCTTCGGCTTCATCTCGATGAGCTGTGCACCCACTGGAAAATGTTTCTCAATCTCGCGATGGATATGGGGCCGTCCAGTAATAAACATGCGTATTTTAGGTGACCACTGAGAAATGGTATACAATGAAGGTAGAAGTTCAGGCAGATGCTTCCCGAGGCATTCGTCCAAGGCATCAATGCAGATAAAAGCCCTCTCCAGTGGAGCAATTGCAGCCTGTAAGAGTGGAAGGAGCTCGGAGACCAGGAGACCTCGACTGCCAACCTGACTTTTTGCTTTCAGGAATCCATCGTCAATTTCTCCGGGAATCAATCCTCAGCCCCGTATAATTTGCTTGAGAAGGCCGCCCGGTATATTCTGCGGGGTTTGGATCGTTTGGTTCTGGAAGTCGCAGTAGAAGCAGGCGACAGCCACTTTCTGCCCCACACTCTCATCGCACAACCTATCAATCACCGCAGAGCTAATGCAGCCATTAGCTATCGACATCCCACGCTCTCTATATATAAAATCGCTCAATCTTCCTACCTAAGATAAGTTTTTCCGACTCCCGGAGCGCCTGAGCAAAAGAGAACTGCTCTGTCAGATTCATCCTTTCCATCACGCCAGTTGACAAACTGGTCGCTCTGTAAAAGCCATTCCCCGATACCATCTAGCCGGCTGGTGCGCACATCTTGGTGGCGCATGCGAGGTTCCAGTGGTGATATCCACTCAAAAATCTGGGGGTTTTGGTCCAGATATGTAGTGTTGTAGCTGTTTATTACGTTAATGCTGTCCGTGTAGCCTGTCCCGGTGGTGCTAGGATCGATGGTGGTTCGTGGACTCATGTTTGCCATGTTGTCAGGTAGCTGGGAGAAACAACAAGTGTTGGAGGAATGAGGTTGTAGATCCCTTCGTTCGTTCCCGAGTTTCACGACCTTTTAGTGCGTAACTTGTGCTCTGATCTTCAAAAACTAGGCTCATGAAAGGATGGCTGCGGTTGCTCAATGGTGACCTGGCCAATGGAATTTGTGACTCCCAAGGAGTCAATTAATCTTTCCCTCAAGTAGCGAGACTATGGCCCTATTCATCTTGGGTGTGAGGTCCTGAATACAGACGAAGGGATTATGTGCTGTTGCTAACTTGGGTCATGCTGGTTGCCCCGGAATCCCCAGCATGGGAGGTTTTGCCTTCGTCGGGTTATGATACCTACGACCTCGATTAGCGCTAAGCCTGTAACCGGTATAGCATGATGTTGGCACCGGTATGTGCCTTCTACCGACATCCTGAACCCTGCAGTGCTTATGTAGTACAAACTCAAGGCAATCACGGAAGAGCTGAGGCTGACAATTTGTCTACGGATTTGAGGCAAATCTTGACGTTGCGATTCGCTGCCAGAGGTTGAGATATGGTATGCATTGCATTCGCCTCTCTTCCTCCGCCTCTTCGCTAGATGCCACAAGACTTAAGAAAGCTATTCCTTTATTCTAGGAATATTTGGGTATTCGGGCCATTTTTTGGTTCCATTTTGAGCGGTATCGGTGCACGTCAAATTTAACCTATATCTTAGCACTGGGTACTCTAGTACCGTACAGTGATCCGCCCCTGCAGTCTCTCTTAATCTCATTACAGCACTTCAGTTCTGTCACTTCTGGGCCGAGTTTTCAGCATTCTGCCCTCATGTAGCGGAGAGCGGGAATTCGCACGCCTTGCACATTTATATTCTACAGTTGAATACCAGTAGCATGATGGGGAGTTTCCTCTGAGAGTTGAGTAGGGTATTACCTTGACGATGTACTGCCTCTTGGCAGACATCCTTCTTGTATCCCGTCTCGGGGATCACCCCTCTACAATAAAAACAAACACATTCTTCCTCATGACACATCATCGATATCGTCCCTCTCCCATATCCTCAAGGAGGATTTCCAGCACCTCTCCTCAGCACGAATACCTGCGCTATCAACAGGTTGGTTAGCAACTGTCCCCAACATGGGGGGGGGCCCATTCAAGACGCTCGCTAGGCTCCAAGGACCTAGCTCGGAGGCATCTTACGAGAACCACGAAGCCCTCCAGGTGATACTGTCTACTGTATATGAGAAGAGATGGACGGTACGATGGAACCTCCCCTATTGTGGCATACCCCGTAGTTTGGTGTGTATATCTGGGAGCTCCTGACGGAGAATTAGAGCAGCTGATTGAAGCTGCAAGCTATGAATTACACTTCGACCACAAGTGCTGGAACATAATTTGCATAAATCAAGTAATGCATCGAGCATGACACTTATAGTGACAAGACGTTTGTGAGGCCGGCTGCTACTGCATACCGTACCGTACCACCAGTATCAGTCAAGTTTCCTAATCTAGGTTATTCTACACATGTTTGAAATGGGGGTGGTCCGGACTTTTGCCTACCCCCTAGTACATCACGGTTCTGTTGGCCTGTGTGCTCTGCGCGAGCTGGAGCGCAGGGTTGTGTTAGAACGGAATATTTGCCTTTTGTCACCAAGTGCGGCGGAATATATATCCAAGCAATCATGACGTTCGTTACCCCATGAACGCACTGGTGTAAAGTTAATAACTGATTCTAAGTTGATATAGTGGCCAAGGTGTCGCCGGTGTTCTTCCTGCAATAGCTCGTATGTCAATCCTAGCCCTAGCCTACAATATATACTTGGGTACATAATAAAATGCGGTAGAAATTGTATCTGTTTTAGTGGCCCCTGAGTCTCCGGGTACCCAGGGGAGCATGGCATCACCCAAATCCGCATTTATATACTTCCCTACAGCAACATTCGTTTCACGTTCTTGCCTGCTTCGATTCCTACTATTACTTTCCCGTCACCGCATCTCCCCACACAAATCCGGGTCTGATGTCACCGACTCAGAAGATCATGCTCCAGCAATCCACACCCAAGTGTCCATCTGGGTCCTTCTGAAGAAACTCGAATTCCTTTTCTTTGCAATATGGTTGTGTTTCCTCGTAACGATGATATTCCCAGTCTACACCCAAGTAATTCTTTCAGTCCGCCCAGAGGATATGTCCCCTAGGATGTTCAAACTGGACGTATTCATCCCCATTGGGTTCATGCTCTGGAACTTGGGTGATTTATCTGGAGGAGTAGTCTGCAGATAGCGGAGGTTCACTTGTGACAGACCGAAGATTCTCGCATTAGTCTCCATAGCCCGGTTGGTATACATCTCTTCGTACACAATGTGCAACATCAAGGGCCACGGAGCCATGATCGCGAGCAACCTCTCCTGCTGGCTTGTCCGGTTCATGTTCGAGATGTCGAA